TGGGTTTCCGAGGCAGTATCACTACAGAAGTAGATTGCCCAACCTTCCTTCCGAGGAGTGGCTGGTGGGTTTGAACAATCAGCCTTCTGGTTAGCAGTTGCAAAAAGGGCAAGGAGACCACATCTCCTGACCTCTTCTAACCCCACAAGAGGTAGACAGAATCACCATCAATAGCCCAAGGTCTATTACTGCAAAGCCAGACATGCTGCCTCCCTCCAGCCCTTCCTCTCAAAGCACCCACCACCTCTCTCCTGGGTTCGATGACTCACTGCAGGGGCCACACAGAACTCACAGATTATGGGGTTTATTAGGAAAGCACCAGGCTACAATTCAAATTCAGGAAAACTGCTCAGTTTCTTTCCCAGCCCACAGTCTCTCTCCTAACAGTCTCTCTCCCAACAGTGAGTGTCCCTCGGTGTCTCACTCAGCAATGAGTGTCTCTTGCATCTCTTTCACAGCAGTGCATGGCTCTTTCAGGAGCGCATGTCTCTTTCAGCAGCACATGTCTCTTTCAGCAGCATGTCTTCCTCAACCAGCAGTCAGAGAGAGACTTCTTCTGCCTCTAGGGGGCCTCCTTTTGAGCCTGGCAGAGTGGCCAAACTAAACAATCATAACATCAGAATTCTAAGCACCTGAGAGAGAGCAGGAACCTCCCAGAATATTGCTTTGTGTTGCCCCAATAGAAATACCCCAGGTGGATAACTTTTATAATCAGGAGCTCCTCAGTTGCTCACAGCAAATTCCACCACAGAGTTTACAAAGACTTATGGCTAGAAAAGCCATACCAGGTAATTTACTACATGGCAGCAGTCAAATGCCTTAGGCACTACGCTACCAGAGCTCCCTAATCTTTATGGAAGTAGATCGCCCAGTCTGCCTTCCATAGAGCAGCTGGTGGGTTTGAACTGCTGACCTTCTGGTTAGCAGTTAAGTGCCTTATCCACTGGAGCTAGTGGGTTCAAACTATAAACCTTCCATCTAGCAGCCAAGCACTTTTCCATTGCACCACCACGGCTCCTGAAACAACTGGTAGACCCACAAATTTATGTTTCTTTCCTTTGGAGAAATAATCTGGCCTAAAGACTCAAAGATGGGCTCATTGTTTTTAAGTGTCCTAAGTGCCAAGTTTCTAAATGCTAATGGTCCAGGCAAGAAACCAGTGAGCTCTGAGCAAAAGGAATCATGAAGAACTTTGCCCTGCAGAGACAAGTCTGTGGTGAGTGGTTAAAGGTTAACTTGGCATCTGTTGTTAACACCTGCAGTTTTGGCCTGGAGCCAGAGAGAAATAAATTCTTCGTGGGGAAGTTTGTTTTTTTTTTGTTTGTTTGTTTTTTTGTTTGTTTTATTTTGTTTTAATGCATCTCTGTATGATTAAATGGCAATATATTCTAGTTGCTTTTGAGCCAACTCCAGTTCATGGTGACCCTATGTGTGTCAGAGTAGAATTGTGCTCCATAAGATTTTCAATGGCTGATTTATTTAGAAGTAGATCACCAGGGCTTTCTTCCAAGACATCTCTGAGTGAACTCAAACCTCCAATCTTTTGCTTAGCAGCCAAGCACATTAACCATTTAAATCACCCAGGGACTCTTGAAATACATCAAAGAAGAGTTTTAACATTGGTTAATCAATAGGACAGTAGCATGGTGTCCTAGAAAGTAGTCAGTGAACAAATTTTGGGGGACACCTGCAATCTGTCAGGCACTGGGGACACATCAGAGGATAACAGTCTCTGCCCTTATGGTATTTATAGGCTAAAGGATAAATGGGCATTGGGTAAATAACTTGCTAAATCATCTGAACTATGCCACAGTTTGGTAATCCATAAATGAGGGAATTCGCATAGCTTGGGGCAAGGCAACACACTGTCAGAAGCTGGAGTTAGGTGAGAGCTAATCTAGTTCTGACCCTCCTTCATTGTGCAGTTCACTTCCCTCCCCTCTGGTACTTAGTTTCATTATCAGGAAAATAGAAGCTTTGGCTTTAATGACCTCCAAGCTTGGTCCCAACTCTGAGTATCTGTGATAAATGTCAAAAACATCCCATTCATGTACTCAACAAAATGAAATCTGTTTCCTGAGAAAAGAAGATTCTCATTATCCCCCTTATAATCCTATGGACTGTCTGCTGAGCCCTAAGGATTATATCTGCAAACTCTTCAGTGTACTTGGTATTCCAGACATGAAAAGGCTGTCTGTTAGCATATCTCAAAGGCCACTTTCTTGTCATGGGGGGTCCTGTCTGGCATAGTATGGATTCTGGAATCAGAATATCTGGAATCAGCTGAAGGAATCTCTTCAATTTATTGGGTGACCTAGGATAAGACTCTTAAGTAACTTTTGTGAGCTTCCTCATCTGAAATACAGAGGTAACTGGGAGGATAATAGTACTGGACATGCAGTGTTGCTCTAGGCAGGGATGAAATGAGGTAACAGATGTAATTGATATGTAAGAAGCACTAAATGAAAAGGAACAATCATTAATATTGTCAGGAATGGACTCAGATTTCCTTGAGTGGTATTGGTAAACTGATGGTGGGTACTGTCATATGATGTCAACTGATAGACCCTGGAATCTATCCAAAGTGATTTGCAGAGAAGCATTAATAAAGGAAAAGTGCTGCTGTACAGTGGCCACAGAGAGGAAAAACTCCAGACTGGCAGTTAAGGGGTCTGAGTTCTTATTCTGGCTTAATACTGACTCACTGGTGACATAGGTCAAGTCAGCTCACCTCTATGAGTCTCAACTAAGTTGGGACTGCTCAAATTGTCAGCAGAACCAGATGAGGTCACATAAATGACACTGATTGGAAAGGTAGAAAGTATTTCATGAATGTGAACTTTTATTATGAGGACTACACACAAAGGCAGGCAAGATGGGAAGTGTCTGCTTCCCTCTCAAGGTTTCTGAAAATTGTGACACCATGTCACATGGATGGTTCACCACTACTCACAGAGCAGTGAAAGGAAATGCAGATTTCATGCAGATCTGCCATCATTTTTCCTTTTAATAAATAGGTTTTTCTGGAAGTTGTCTTCTTAAGGTAGTAAGAACGAGAAGATGGTGTGACTTTGACTCTTGAAAAGTTCCCCAAGTGAAGGTTGGAACTATCTAAAGAGGGTGCTTCAACACATTAATAGTCACTTTTCCCCTTAATCTTCCTATATTATCGGAAAAATCCAACTCTTATAACTCCAGGAAACAAGGTCAAAACCAAACCATACTGGTTGGTGTCAAGTTGATTCTGACTCATTGCAACCCCAGGTGAGAGAGGAGAACTACTCCAGGGTTTACTTGGCTGCAGTCTTTATAGAAGCAAACTTCCAGGCCTTTTTTTCCATAGCACCATTGAGTAAGTTTGAATGGCCAATCATTTAGGTTAGTAGTCCAGTGCAAAACATGTCCACCACCCAGGGACCTTCTAGGAAACCAGAAACTCTAGATATGTCTAGGTTTCCTCCTCTTATCTGTGGCAGCAGCCTCAGAGAAGATAAAATATGACTTCTGGAGTCATTTGATCTAGTAGTCAGAGAAGTCTTGGGACTCTTTTCCCACAGTATTTGTTTTTTTCTTCTTTTGTTTGTTTTTTTGTTTTTTGTTTTTTGGTTTTTTTAATCTTTATTTGGGTTCTTATTTGTAAAGACATTAGCTCATTGGCCCTCACACAGGTTCTCAACCTGCATGAATCATTCAAAATCCCCTCCATGCATCTTTTTCTACCATTGACTCTCTTCCCTCTAAACTTTAATTCAACTGTGAACTGTGAACACTAATAGAAATGGTGGGAGCTTCTTTATGAACAGCTTTTGTTATATCCAACTGTAAACTATAGTTGGAGCTCCAGAAGATACAACCTCATGGAAAACGAGTCTTTTCTTTATGGTATTTACTTTATCTCCAGAGAGATGGAACATGCCCATAAGACAAGTGTATTTAGATTATAAATCAATATGTAGTGAGTTCCAAAAGGATGTAACAAAAGGTAACTCCTATAAAGATGTAAAAAATTGGAGACCCATGAGTCAGAGCCAGCCCATAGAAATATGTTTTAGAAACTAGAAGATCTTACAGGAGATTTGGCAAACTAGACCAGCATTTGGGCATTTCACTGGGCAGAGCAGTTGCTGCCTTTTAGATAAGATAGGACTTGCCAGGTCTCCACAGTCCCTGTGACTCTTATAGTGTCTTCATCTGTACCTTGGCCCATTCCCTCATCCACCTTACCTACCTGACTGCTGTGAACATTTTGAGTTCAAGACCCTGTTATTGTGGCTCAGAAGAAAGAGAATTCAGTGTGGGTTGAATAAGGTCTCATGGACAGCTGGGACTTTTCATAGTTATCAAAGTCTAGGAAGGACTCTAGCAGACAGAAGAGGATTTTGCAAACATAGTGTAATCAGAGACAAAGAAGGGGAGTATAGATCCAGGAGGCAGCAAACAGACTACCTGGCTGAGCTGGGGATCCACGTTGAGAAGTGATGGATTAAAAAGAAAGGAAATGCAAATTGTGGATGAATATAGATGTCAGATTTGGGACTTTGGATTTGATCATGTTAACAATGGAAATGTCCTGAATATTTTTGGAGACCAAGAGTAGCATGAGCAAAATGGTGTTTTAGGAAGAATGGAGTGGTACTGATACATATGGAATGTTAGAAAGAAAAGAGGTGAGAGGGAGCAACATCAGGAAAGAGGCTGATCCAGAAATCCAGGACTGGTGGAAAGCAAGCCTGAGTGCAACTGGAAGCAGCAGAAATAGGGAGACACTGAGAGGGAAGAACTACTAGGACCTGGTAACTGACAGACATGTGGGGTTGAAGGAGAGGGAGGAATCAAATAAGGACCTGAAATCCTAGGCCTGCAGCTTGGGAAGATGTACTGGATGCAAGACTAGAGGGATGACTGTATGATCCTTACCACCTATGCACTGAACCCTGCTGGAGAGGGCCTTTCTTCCCAATGTCTTTGGGAAAACTCTCACTCAGGCCTTTCTTTACCAGGAAAAAGATGTGACTCCAGATAAAAACCTACTGACCAAGGTGCGGGATGCTGCTCTGTGGCTAGAGACCTTGTCAGACACCAGGCCTGCCACACCTTCCCTCTCCACCACCTCCTCCATTGCTGACTTCTTCCTGGCCCTCACCATCTGCAACTCCGTCATGGTCTCCACAACCACTGAGCCTAGGCAGAGGGTAAGGACTGGAGATGGTAGAGGTAGGTAAGAAGGGAGGCAGGGAGGTAGAGAGAAGGGTAGGAGTGAGGGGAGAAGCCCTCAACAGGAAGAGAAGACACCTGGGCTTTAGCCAGTGTCACTGTCTCATCACTGGAAAATCATGAACAACTCTGTGATCCTTTCTGGACCTCAGTTTCCTCATTTTTAAATAAATGGATAAAATTATATATGAGGTCTCTCTGTAGCTTTCAAATTTGTGTCAAATCTGTCAGCACAGTTAATATTTCCTGGGCACTTACTCTATGCCAGGCACCATGCCAAACAATTATCTGCATAATCATTTAATCTTCACAACCCAACAACCCTATGAGGTATATCCTTGGATTTAACAAGTGAATAAACTGTGGTTCAGAGAGCAAAAGTAATTTATCAAAGAGTATATGGTTAGTACATGGTGAACCCTCCGTATGACTTAATAATGGCTCATAATAATGTTATGCATACTGGCCTCTGATTTTATAAGTTGTTGTTGCTGACAGTTGCTGTGGAGTCAATCCCCAACTCATGGCAACCCCACATACAATGGAACAAAACCCTGCCTGTGCCACCCTTATGATCTTTTATAGATCAGATTTGTGATCCATAGGGTTTTCTTTGACTGCTTTTCAGAATTAGATCACCAGGCCTTTCTTCCATGTCTGTGGTAGTTAAGGTTATGTATCAACTTGGCTGGGCCTGGTTGAGTGGCTGGCAGCTGGATGTAGTTGTTCCCCATGGTGAGATTGGTAATTAATTCCATGGTGGAATCTACTGGAGGAGCTGAGTAGCTGCTTTAGGGATGTGGTCTTCTTCCAGTATATAAGAAGCAACTTTGAGGAAGGTCTCCAGCTTTTTGGCATGCTTGAACCCTGCATGTGGCCAGGTCATTGTTCAACAGTCTGCCACACCCTACCCATCTTGGGACTTGTCCTGGACTTGGAATTAGTGGCCTGCCATTGTTCGGTAACATTGGGACTGTGCCTTTTTACTTATTGACCTTGGGTTTGTCAGCCTCAGCAGCCAGAAGTTGTCTGAGAGAAGAAAAGCCTCCAGCTTCAGTGGGCTGAGAGCAAGAGGCAGAGCTGAAACCCAGGGTTGACGGGGCTTTCACCCAGCCCCTAGAGCCTGGCACTTTGAACTCAGATTTAAAGCCTCCAAACTGTAAGAGAATAAACTCCTGTTTGTTAAAGCCATCCCTTTTGTGGTTTTTTGTTAGAGTGGCACTAGGTAAGCAAAACAATGACCATCTTAGTCTGAAAACTCCACTGAAACCTGTTTAGCATCACAGAAATACACAAGCCTCCACTGACAGACAGGTGATGACTGTACATGAGGTACACTGTGTGGGAGTCAAACTCACATCCCCCTCATGGAAGGCAAGGATTCTACCACTGAGCCACTAATGCCCCCATACTCTTTTTAAAAAATATAATTTATTTTGTTGTTGTTGTTGTTGAGAATATACACAGCAGGACATACACCAATTCAACAATTTCTGCATGTACAATTCAGTAACATCCATTTGCTTTTGTATAGAGGCTAAAAAATAACATTAGTCGTAATGTTCAGCTAATGGAGATAATGCAGCATTTTGATTTTTTAGTACTGAAGGTAGATTTGTTAATTAGCTGCACACTCTCACCCAAGCTCCTTGTGAGTCATTGATGAGAATAATTGGTTGTACAATGTATGACTATGAAACAAAGAAAGAAAGTTCACTCAGGCACCAAATCAGGAACACCCCTTATTAAGTCCAGATTCCAAGCCACCCTGAACTTCTCAGCCATGGAAAAGTAGTCAGGTTATCAAAAGTCTTCAGAGAGCTTTGGGAGGTAGGAAGCATTATCTGAGAAATTAACTGTATTTTTTGATACAAGAAGAAGAACCATTTTGGGAGGATCAGTATCAAACACTCAATTTTCAAGTTAATAGGAGAAGAGGGGGCTTTAGCTGGCAGACAGGTCAGTGTTAAAAGAGCCCAGTCTCTGGAGTCAAGCAGATTAGTCAGGTCCCAGCTCCACTACTTACACATTATGTGATAGTGACCAATTTACTTAACCTCTTTGTGCATCAGTTTCCTCATCTATGAATTGGGATAATCTGACAGTAGCCCATAGAGTTGCTAGGAGAATGAAATGAAACAGTGCAGACAGAGATAAAGCAGCTAAGACTATGACCCAGGTTTGGGGAATGTGAGTTCTTGCTATGCATCTGGCATTTGTCTCCATTTCCTTCCTTTCTCCATGATCAGACTCACTCATTGCTGTGGAGTTGGACCCAAGTCATAGTGACCTTTCCTTGGGTTTCCAAGTCGGTGTCTTGGAATGGATATGGAAGTAGATTGCTTTGCCTTCCTTCCAAGGAGTGGCTGGTGGGTTTGAACCACCAGACTTCTGGTTAGCAGTCTAATGCCTTAGGCACTACGCCACCAGAGCTCTTATAATCAGACTGGGAGGGTCAAAAGATGGAGAAAATGATCATTGACCATCCTTGAATATTAAGGCTGCAAAGAAACATCTTGCTTAACTCAATCAATCATTTTACAGGTGGGTAAACTGAAGCCCATTGTGGGAAGGAGACTTAACCTACAATCATAGAAACACAGATAATCACCTTGCAAAATGACCATCATCTTCTGCCATGAGAGAGCTTGATATTTTGTCCAACACTGATAGTAATGTTCTATTTTTCTTCCTTCACTCAAGGTCACCATGCCATCCTCAACCAAGGCTCTGGGGGTGTCCCTAGAAAAGATTCAGCAACTCTTCCAGAGGTTGAAGCTGTCAAACCTCAGCCAGTCATTCTCATCCACAGTGCCCTCTGACACAGACCTGGAAGAGAGTTTGGGAACCAACATGCCCACCACAGACTCGGATGAGAGAGACGATGTGTCTGTGTGTAGTAGAGACTACTCCACTGATGGTGGCTACAAAAGTAGCACATGGGACCAGGGTGACATCGTGGGATCTGGGGAGGCCCCTCCACTGAAGGAGGTGCTGGAGGCTCCGGTCCCGGGCCTGGCTAGTCCCGAGTTCTGTTATGAGGCCGAGAGCCCTGATGAGGCAGCCCTGGTGCATGCTGCCCATGCTTACAGCTTCACTCTGGTGTCCCGCACACCTGAGCAGGTGACTGTGCGCCTGCCTCAGGGCACCTGCCTCACCTTTGACCTTCTTTACACCCTGGACTTCGACTCTGTCAGGAAGAGGATGTCTGTGGTTGTGAGGCACCCACTGACTCAAGAAATCATAGTCTACACCAAGGGCGCTGACTCAGTCATCATGGACCTGCTTGAAGATCCAGACTGTGGTAAGTAACCCTCACAATGAGGCTGCAAGAACAGAGGACTTGTAGTTTAAAAGGCAGTATGGAATGGTAATTAGGAGCTCAGATTATACTGTCAGGCCCACAGATGCTTTCCTCAAAGCAGGTTCCATAGTCAAATGAACATACTATGTTAGGCATCTCTTCACATGAAGAATCCCAGTACACACTAGCATATTAAAGGCTCTAAGCAGTCTTCTAAACATATAAGGTGGGAAAAACATCCCCCAGGCAGCAGAAAGCAGCAGTAGACAGGGCCAGCGGCCAGAACAGGTAGGGGGACACCCAGGAACTGAGCAGAGAAGTTGGAACGGCTAAGGGAGATGAACTTGTCTGTTGGTTTGTTGTACTGTGGTGGCTTGCATGTTGCTGTAAGGCCAGAGGCTGTGCCAGCAGGGGTCCCCATGGTGGACCAATTTCAGACTGAGAAAGACTCAGATGAAGTACGAGGCCATCCACTTCTCAAAGAATTGGCCAGTGAAAACTTTATGAATAGTAGTGAAACACTGTCTAATATATTACTGGAAAATTTTATGAATAGCACTGAAACATTGTTCAATACAGTGCCAGAAGATGAGCCCCTCAGGTCTGAAGGCATGCAAAATATGACCGGGAAAGAGCTGACTGATCAAAGTAGAGACTACCTTAATGATATGGACAAAGTAGAGCTTTCAAAACCTCCATTTGCTGAAGTGGCATGATTCAATATGAGAAGAAACAGCTGCAAACATCCATTAATAATAGGAACACAGAATGTACAAAATATGAATCTAGGAAAATTGGAAGTTGTCAAAAATGAAATGGAACACATAAAGATTGATATCCTAGCCATAAGTGAGCAGAAATGGACCAGTTTTGACCATTTTGAATCAGATAACCATATGATCTACTATGCCAGGAATGACAAATTGAAGAGGAATGGTGTGGCATTCATTGTCACAAATGTTTCAAGATCTATCCTGAAGTACAATACTATCAGTGATAGAATAATTTCCATATGCCTGCAAGGAAAGCCTGTTGATACTACTATTATTCAAATTTACACACCAACCCAAAACCAAAGATGAGGAAATTGAAGATGTTTACCAAATTCTGCAGTCTGAAATTAACCAAACATGCAATCAAGATGTGTTGATTATCACTGGTAATTGGGATGCAAATCTTGGAAATAAAGACAAATCACCAGTAGTTGGAAAATTTGCCCTTGGAGATAGAAATAATGCTGGTGATCTCGTGATAGCATTTTGCAAGACCAAGTACACAGAGTACTTCACCAGACAGAGTACACAAGAATCAAATTGACTACATCTGTGGCAAGAGAAGATGGAAAAGCTCAATATCTTCAGCCAAAACAAGGCCAGGAGCTGACTGTGGAACAGACCATCAACTGCTCATATACAAGTTCAACTTAAAGTTGAAGACAATTAAAACAAGTCTACAAGAGCCAAAATATGACCTTGATAATATCTTTCCTGAATTTAGAGACAATTTAAAGAAAAGATTTGATGCATTGAATGCCAATGACCAAAAACCAGAGGAATTGTGGGATGACATCAAGAGCATCATCCATGAAGAAGCCAAAAGGTCGTTTAAAAGACAGGAAAGGGAGAAAAGACCAAAATGTATGTCAAAAGAGACTCTGAAACTTGCCTTTGAGTGTAGAGTAGCTAAAGCAAAGGGAAGAAATTACAAGATCAAAGAGCTGAACAGAAGATTTCAAAGAGCAGCTCAAGAAGACAAAGTCAATTATTATAATGAAATGTTCAAAGAGTTGAAGTTGGAAAACCAAAAATGAAGAACATATTTGGCATTTCTCAAGCTGAAAGAACTGAAGAAAAAATTTAAGCCTCAAGTTGCAATACTGGAAGATTCTATGGGCAATATATTGAATGATGCAGGAAACATCAAAAGAAGATGGAAAAAAATATACAGTCACTGTACCAAAAAGAATTGGTCAATGTTCATCTATTTTAGGAGGTGGCATATAATCAAGAACCAATGATATTGAAGGAAAAAGTTGAAGCTTCACTGAAGGAAGTGGTGAAAAACAAGGTTTCAGGAATTGATGGGATAACCATTGAGATGATTCAACAAACATGCTGCACTGGAAACACCCACTTGGCTATGCCAAGAGATTTGAAAGACAACTACCTGGCCAACTGACTGAAAGAGATCTATATTTGTACCCATTCCAAAGAAAGGTGATCCCACAGAATGTGTAAATTATCAAACAATATCATTAATATTGTTCACAAGTAAAATCTTACTGAACATAACTCAAAAATGATTACAGCAGTATATTGACAGAGAACTTCCAGAAATGCAAACTAGATTCAGGAGAGGACATGGAACAAGGCATACCATTGCTTATGTCAGAGGGATCTTTGCTCAAAGCAAAGAATAATAGAAAGATCTTGTGTTTTATTGACCAGGCAAAAGCATTTGATTTTGTGGATTATAACAAATTATGGACAACATTGAGAAGAATGGGAATTGCAGAACACTTACTTGTGATCATGAGAAACTTGTACATAGACCAAGAGGCTGTTGTTCAAACAGAAGAAGAGGACATTGCATGTTTTAAAATCAAGAAGGGAGTGCATCAGAGTTGTATCCTTTCACTATAGTTGTTTAATCTGTATATGCTGAGTAAATAATCTGAGAAACTGGACTATATGAAGAAGAATGTGGCATCAGGATTGGAGGAAGAATCACTAACACCTATGTTATGCAAATGACACATTGCTTGCTAAAAGTGAGGATGACTTGAAGCAGTTACTGACGAAGATTCAAGAATACACTCTGCAGTATGGATTACACCTCATTATAAAGAAAACAAAAATCCTCACAATGGGACTAATAAGAAGCATCACGATAAATGGAGAAAAGACTGAAGTTGTCAGGGACTTCATATTACTTGATTCTATAATCAACACAAATGGAAGCAGCAGTCAAGATATCAAATGTCATACAATATTGGGCAAATCTTCTGCAAAGGACCTCTTTCAAGTGCTGCAGAACAAAGATGTTTCCTTGAAGACTAATAAGCATGCGCTTGACACAGGCCATGGTATTTTCAATCACTTCATATGCGTGAGCTGGACAATGAAAAAGGAAGACCAAAGAAGAGTCAACGCTTTTGAGTTGTAGTGCTGGCAAAGAATGTTGAAAGTACCATGGACTGCTATAAGAACTGATGGATCTGTCCTGGAAGAGGTACAGCCAGATTGCTCCTTGGAAGAGAGAATGGCAAGACTTAGTCTCACCTACTTTGGTCATGTTGTAAGAAGGGACCATTCCCTGGAGAATGATATCATGATATCATGATAAAATGGAGGGACAACGAAAAATGGGAAGGCCCTCAACGAGATGGATTGACACAGTGGCTGCAACAATGGGCTTAGGTATAGCAAAGATTGTGGGGTTGGCACAGGACCGGGCAATGTTTCGTTCTGCTGTACATGAGGTCACTATGAGTCAGAGATGACTTGACCACACCTAACAACAACAACAACAACAAGCAGTCTTGAAGTAGAGAAACATATTTATTCACCTCAGTTTCCAGTTTTCCAAATTCATTTTAAAAAGAGGTTATACATCTCCACACTATTCTTTGTGGCAGGACATCTATTACAATACCCTAAGTACACCTTGGGTTGTGCAAATGGTTAACATGCTTAGATACTCACCAAAGGGTTGGAGACTTGAGACTACCCAGAGATGACATGGAAGAAAGATCTAGCTATCTACTTCTTAAAAATCAGCCATTTAAAACCTATGAAGCACAGCTACTCTGACACACATGGGGTCACAACACAACTGGTTGTGTGTATGTGTGTGTATGTGTGTGTGCATGTGTGTGCATGTGTGTGTGGTTTGTTTTGTTGAGAATAGTCTGTAGTCTTAACTTTTTTTTTTGGTGGGGGGTTGGGGGTTGGAAATAGAAGCCAAATGGGACACACAGAGTAGTAACTTAGAAGAGATCACACAACTAACTGGTGGTAAATCCCAGGCCCAGGTCTTCTAAATCCTCAGTCAGGCTCAGTTCACTCTGGGAAGCCTCAGGTGTCCTTCTTATCATCCTTTTCCCTAGCCTTCCCAAAGTGTATTTTCATAAATGTGCTGAGCCAGAAAAATGTTCCAAAGTTCCTACATATCAGTGTCCAATTTTGGAGGAGCATGAATTAGTGTGAAGCCATTTTCTGATTGCTAACAAGGAGAAGACAGCTATGGGGCTATGATTCTCCCAGGATAGTAGATTCCAGCCAAGCTTTAGAATTGCCCAGGCAGCCCTGTGCCTCCTGCATTATCAGCTGTGGATCAGAGCCAAGCAGTTTATGGGGATTGATGAGTGTTTAGAATAGGAAGGCTAATTAGGCCTCTCCATCCCCAGCTCCTGGCAGACAAAGGAATTCAGTGCTTCTGAGTAAAGGGAACCATGGCACTATCTCCCTTGGCAGCAGCCATCTAAGCTGCCCTGGAGATGTCTCTTTATTTGTCCCTCAATGGATTTCAAGCTGGAGTAGAGATGCTTCCAATAAAAGACACATATACAATATTACTATAAGAATTAAGAAACTTAAAAGGAAAAAGAGAGAAAAATACCCCATGTTTAGTATATTTACCAGACTCCAATATTCAACTGGGCTATGAGGTTCCTGGCAGCCTGAGGAAAAAGGTAACTTAAATGCTCACAAATGGAATTTAAGTGATGGTGGCTATTGGAAATAAAATACTGAAAATAGTGCTCCATGGAACATTCTCCAGAATAGACCATATGTTAGCCCATAAAGCAAGGCTCAATAAACTTAAAAAGATTGGAATACTACAAAGCAACTTCTCAGATCACTGTACTATAAAATTAGAAATCAAATAAAATCAGGAAAATCAAATCAAATATATGGAAACTGAATATAACACCCTGCTTAAAAATTACTAGGAATTGAAAAAATAAAAAAATGAATTAAAAATTTCCTTGAATCAAA